TACTATAATTTCAGATGACCTCATGGTGTCTTGCAGAGAGCCAAATTTATTTTTATAAGGCAGGACAGTAGCATATCTTGCAAAGGATTGTACAGTTTCTGGATCATTCAGTAATGAGAAACTCCAGATGAAAAAGCAATGAATGATTGTAATTTGTAAATGTATGTAAAAACTGTATCAGCACATCAGACTTAATGAGGCTTTACATACATGAGACACTATTTTCAGAAGAGAGGCGTGTGGAGGCGTGCCTCTTAATCATCTTTATGCAACTGTGATGTATACAGCCTAGGTAAGAAGTCAATTCATTTTAGGAAATAATCCCTTTATGCATATTCTGAGGAGAGTACTAGATGTGCAATCGAGTATGAACATGTTGCGTAGGGTTTTAGCTCTGGGACTTCATCTCACATGATGTATGAGGTTGAAGTCATTGTAGCTGCCAAACATTCTTCTTTTATATATTTGATCTGATGTTGAATGGCTTCTCTTGGGAGTGAGGTACAGGTCAATGTCAGGGTCAAGGTTAGGATCAGAGTATTCATGTGATTGGCCTCTGGTCATGTGTGCACTGTTTGATCTCAAGGATTATCAGCTGATTATTTAGTAGTGATTAGGTTTACTTTGATGGAAGAGATGAGATATGTACTTTTATACTCTTTTGTTTCATGTATGTAATTTAGTGAGAAACCAAATGGGAGAAAGGACTGATAAGAGGGGTGCAAATTGCTTAACATATCATATTTTATAAAAATTTCTTCGCAGTTCCCTTAGCCCTTTTCTTAATTCTCTTGGATGTGCCATAAATAAAGTAGTTGTTTCACATAACCTTCCTTTGAGAGTCCCCTTAGTTCTGTCTTGGTGTCTAATTTGTCACTGGGGACATCTACTGACAGATGATAGAGTGCTTCTGCAATGGGCATTAGTTTCTATTAGCATTATTTTTGTCTTATTCTGATGGGAAATAGAATTACATCAGTGCCATTTAGCCAAGATTGAATGGTCAAGAAATGATTGAAGTTTCAGAATGAGAGATAATGTGTTTTATTTCACACTATTCAGTAGTTCAGTGTAATGGACTAAAATATGACAGCTCAGGGGACATGGCACAGAAACTTAGAGAAATGGTGGTACTATGGGGCGGATTGAGGCTGTCTTCTGGTTGGAAGACGGTCAAAAATGGAGGATAAATCAACAAAGATAATTTGGAAGAATGTCAGAAAATATGGCTGGATATGCCCCTGTAGTATATTATAAATCATTCACCCAACCCAACAAGTCCATGTTAATACATTGTCTATGCATGTTTTATTTCATATTTCTTTCTATTATATATATACATATATTGTTTGTTTGTTTGTTTGTTTTTTTGCTCATGCTCCCTACCTCCCTCCTTTCCTTTCCTCTTTTCTCTCTCTCTCTCTCTCTCTTACTGCTAAATGTTTTGTATGCATGTATTCTTATTACACTAGCACTATAGCCAATTTCAGCCAATTGGTAAACAAGTTCTGATTTAGTTACAGAAAAATACGAAATGTGGCAATGCCTTTTCCAATAATTATTATTATGGAATTAGTACAAAATATTGATTGATTGGGCTAGAATGACCAGATTTTGGTCCAAAGGAAAATATATCTTAAACTATATATGTTGCCATAGTATCATTGGTAGGCTTGTCAAACTATCTTTCACCTTAAAAATATGAAGTTGGCTTGTGTTTATTTCAATGTATGAAGAATATTCATTGCTAAAAGCTTTTTTATTGAAATATTTTACAGACATTCAAGTTGGAGTCAAACTGATATCCTGCCATTTTCCCATATTAGGGACATTATTCATGGAAAGCTCTTATTGACTTTTATCTCAAGCCATAACTTCAGTATTTGTCTCAGCAGTATATATGCCTTGTCTTTGTTGCCATATTGATATTTAACTGTGGTAAAGAGCATCTTGATGTTGATTTAGAACAAGATTTGCTTTGAACTAAAGTGATGGGATATGTGGGTCTCTAATTTGTGGCATCTTGTTGTTGGGGTGGTTATTAAAGTCACATCATATTACCACTTCTAGACTGGTTGCTATCTGGCCTCTGTTCTAAAGTCAGAATCTCAAGTCTTTCAGATGGCTTCAAAATTTTTGTACTTCTCTTGGGCTGCTTAAACCAGGGCCCCGTAACTCTAAAGCATTACGCATTGCGACCCGATCGCAATCGTCTTGATTCCATAACTCGCCGATACTCACCCCATAAAATACACTGTAGCCTCTATGTGATATTGCTATTTGCAATAGGCGATGCATTCGAGTTACAGGGTCCAGATGGGCTATACTTCATGAAGACCAGAACTTGCTATTAGAATAAGGACACACTGCAAGACTTAAGTGTTGTTGAACGACAGTACTGGTTTTTACTGGCTCAATTTGAATTAGCTTTGTTCTCCAAGAATCCATTATAAAATCTTTTGGGAATTATAGGATATAAAATTGTCTATAAAACATTTCCTGTGGATTTGGCACAAAACGTTCAACATTAAGATCTAGACTGATATACAGAAGTTTGTAATTTCTTTCTGATCACTGCAGCTTTTGAGAATCATTGGATATAAAAGTATTTTAGGCTCATTTTCCGCATGAGTGCATCAGAAATGGACATTTTTTGTGATAGGAAATGCTGACATTTGGAATTTTCTGGCACATCTTAGTAAAGGGTACCAATCCAAAAAAATGTTTTAAGGAAGTACAGTTTTCTATAAAAAAGGATTCTATTACTGATTTAGTTAAACAGAGTACTATAGGTCACAACTACAAGATTTCATGGAGATGGGGTCACAGCATGTGTATGTTACCATTAGACGATAAGGCAGTAATTTTACTGAGGGATGATTTTAATAGCAAAAAAAAAAAAGAGCGTTGACAAGATTTAGATCTTCTTAAGTCGAGATGACCTGCTGAGGTGCTGTGTCAGAGTTTGTTTTCAATTTAGTTTTATTAGGAAACCACTGACCTTTCTGAAGAAGGTAGATTCACATCTTATCATTTATTGGATGAAAAAGTTCCTTTCAGTCGTGTGTTAAGGGTTGATATTTGTACGAGGACAACACAGCCATTTTTGCTGTCTCTTTATCTCCCTGTTATCTGTCTAGCTAAGCTGTGTGTAGATCTCGATTTCATGTTAAATCATCCATTTGAACAATTTGTGAATTTAAATAACCGTGTATCCTCAATTATGGAAATTTTACACAAATCAATAGAACGATAATTGCGTGTATCCATTTACTTGAACCAGATCAAGCAAAAAGTCAGTGCAATACACTTATTTATAGGGTGTTAACTAACATATGTTGATAACACTAGGAAATATGTTATTTACATTTATTTATTTCACACCAAAAGTCAGTAATCATTAAAATCATTTCCCTGGAAATGAAATACTGAAATAAGTGATTTTATATAATTAGCAAAATAGCTAAACATGTCAGCCAAATGAACAAATATTCATTGCATAAATGTTAAACTTTTTTGCATAAAGTAATAAAGTTGCATTTTATGCCATTATAATGATAATTGACAAGCTCGCCAGACGTCTTGAGCAAGATAATTCATCCACCCTGTGAAATCTTTTACATATATGCATGCAACCAAAATCAGCAGTTGGCACTGCCACAAAACTCATTATAGCTCGAGTGCACCCACTCCAGACATAGAAGGGAAGTAAAGTGTGAAAAAAAATTTATTTTGATTCTTCATTATTGATAACCCTTTTCTGTTCATTGCATTTCAGGTTAGACACAGAGACACCCCCCCCCCCCCCACTTCATTTTTACCATGATCATGGTTTTCCCAGATAAAATCTGTGATCTGACACAAATGGGACTCGGTTGATTTTTTCCAGAACATCACTTTTCTTTATAGATTCCCACTGAAGTGTCAGTCTTGGAGGGAATATATTAGTTTAAGGCAAAACTTTTGTGCATGCTTGCCTGCCTGCTTATATGTGTGCATTTTAATCAAAATTGATTACCACTTTGTAAATTCACCTACCATGTTTACAGTTTTTAAAAAAGCATTAGGTGTATTAATACCAATACATATTTAAGAACTCACAAAGAGTCTCACTATATGTCTAGGGATGATGATGATGAGTTTCTTCTGTCCTGAAGGTAATGAAAAGGTAATACTTAATAGTAGATTTGGTTAAAAGCTATTTTTGATGTACTTTTTTTGAATAGATGGAATTAATGGAGAAAATGAAGTTCACATTATGGTTCAATATAAAAAAAGTAAATTTTAATCCAGAAATGCCCTCCCCCTTTTGTCTTAAGGGTTTTGAATTAACCAGCAGTTCTCATCACCAAGTATTTTGAATTCCATTGTGTTTTCATGTGTTGTTCTTGGGTTCAAAACATGATGAAAAATACATCTTTTCATTTGATCACTTAACTCTGGCTAACCTGAGATTCCTTAACTGGTAATTTCCACCAAAGGAGAAATATTTTCTCTTATTTTTTGCCAGAATTTGAGTGAAAAGTATCAGAGTTGTTTATGGATTTTCATAGGTTCTGGAAGTTTAATATTAGATTTGAAGCCAGACTGGATCCATGTGTTATGTCAGAATTGGCGAAATGCTCTGAGACTTCAATCTGTATATTGATGGAGTCAATACATCATAATGCTTCATGATTTCACGGTGCTTTATTTGCTGCTACAGTACATTTGAATAGGAATTGACTGAGATTGCAAAATTGTGGTGGATTGAAAACAGACTCTGAGGCAATTAAATTACTGGTATCATTAATCTGTAATCTAAATTTTTGAATTATTTACACTATTTTCCCATTGTGATAGTTGAGGCAACTATATAAAAATCACATTGTGCTGAGCTGTATCTGAGGCATTCCCAAAAAACAATCATAAGTTTATTTTCAGTTAATGCTTGTATATTTGAAATGTCCTCTGAAGAAAACCAGTGAAAATCTTGCACAGGTGAATCTTTCAGCATCACAATGGATGGCCTTTCAGAAACTGATGTTGAGAAAAGTGACTGCACAGTGTTAAATAGCCAGGCGATCACATTAAACTAAGCTCGGTATAATATCTTATCATTTTGTTGTTCCTCTTGTATGTGATACCCTTTGGGTCATAAGTATTACAGAATGTACCAAAATAAAGTGATTTTATTAAATGATATACATATCAAGTAGATCAGATCAATGATGATGAACCTCTTCAGGTTAATTTATTTAAAAAAAATTGACATTTTTCATCCAGAAGTTACCAGTAAGATCACTCTGCTCCATGACTGGCTAATCCCCACAAAGACGCTGCCTAGTTATACGTATGAAGGACTCCCGGAGGTGATCAAGTTACTGAAGCAGTACAACGAAGAGGTGCTGGGGCTCCCCAAGGGGCTGGTGACCATCTTGAGGATCCTGAGACACCTTGCTGTGCCCCCTGATGTGGAAAATCAAGGAGGTGAGAACGCTTCAATATCAGTATAAGTATCAGAAGCAGCACCCTGGTACACAATCTGATTGGTGTGGATTCTGAGCGGGGTTGGAAAGTAGTGCATCTCATCAAGGTTCATGCACTACTGCTACAAAATTTGTCCCGGGGTATGATACTGTGAAATGCATACTGACGTACACCTTGAAAACAGGAAGCGTGATCTGATCTACTGGTGAATTCAGTATCTTTTGGTGCCGAGTCTGGTAGTTGGGTAGGCCTGAGAAAATTGGCCTTGTTTAGTTACTTGTTTAGTTACTTGTTTAATTTGAGCACTTACTAGCCACATTATCAAGTTAGCCAGTCATTTATTTGGGTAGTGGGTTGGCTGCTTGCTGAAAGAGAGTGGATGAAAGGGGAGAGAGGGGGCAGCTTAGACCCCCCCCCCTTCTTATTTCAGTAATTGCTTCTTACTTGCTTACACTAAAATAATGCAGAGTTGATATTCAACAGGCATATTTATTTATTTATTTATTTATTTAGAACACACAGAGGAGCTGAAGTACAAGTATGTTATAATAGAGCTGTTCAGTGCTGACTGCTTCCCCGTCTTCATCAACATTCTGCAGGTAAGTCAACTGTGTGGCCCAGAAGTTTTAAAACTGTTACAGATCAGTGCAGAAGATGGTTCAGGATTCTTTTTTGATGTGTAGCTGATAACGTCTGAAAAGAATAAATTTTTCATCAAAACTTTCAGCTTCATCTATGCTGTGCTGGGTATATAAGAAAATGTGAATATCAACTTTTCGTCAGCTTCAGTTTATATTTGTTTTTAATGCCATGTTTTATAATTACATTTTTCTACAGTTTGTACGTCAGCATAAAGGTATAGAAAAGTACCACCTGCTTTAATGTTTATATTAAGACAGTAGTTTAACTACTTATCTAAGATATCCCTATAACATTATCTTTCCCTTTTCTTTTTGTTGCCAGAAAATTGGAGAATTGCAACTGTTGCCATGGCAACAAGGTATAGCCAGCAGCTACCAGTATCAAGCTCTGATCATGGCGTTCATAAAGCCCACCCTGGCCATCGTCAAGGCAACACTGTCATATCTGGTCCATGCAAGAGGGTCTGCTGTGAGTCATGTTTGTTGAGCCTATATTTGTTTTAATGTAAAGTTTGATTCAGTAGCTGCCTGGAAATATAAACTGAGATGTATGTGTTTACACTTTTTCATTTTATCTGTTAGTTTTGAATGTTGAATAGTGTAAAAGAGAGAAAAGATGTTATTGTTATATTCCAGTTCCAGGATCTGACCAGTCTGCCCACTCTGTTCAATATTAAATGTCTGTACATACGCTAACCTTGCTGTCTAGTTATTATCTGACAAAATTGTTATATTCCAGTTCCAGGATCTGACCAGCCTGCCCACTCTGTTCCAACTGCACACTGTGATGTGCTCCATCTGCCTCAGTGGAGAACCCAGCGAGGACGCCCAGAAGGTAACAGCAGCAGGGGCGGATCCAGAAATATTTTCTGACAGTCTTCCAAATTATCTTTGTTAAGCCATTCTCTATTTTTGACCTTCTTCGGACAGAAAAAATAAGATGCCCATCCATGTTAACTTGAAAATCTGACCGTCTTCCGTAAGACCCAGAAGACGGGCCTCAATCCACCCCTGCAGTCATCTGCTGCTCTGTCATGATATAAAACAGAAAAATTTTTTTAAAAATAATTTTTCAACAATATTTTCAATGATATGATTGGATTCTTTCAATCTTTTATTTGATCACTGACTTGTACTCATATGACTTGTATGCCTGGTATGATTTGTGAGAAAGTTCAGATTGTACGTCATCTGCAGAATTGTCTTCAGATCAAGCCGGAGACTTTCAACTTTGTCTTTTAATAATTTTATATTTTTCACTGTGGTCTTTCTGATCTGATTTTTGATGTAGATTGACTAAGGTTTTATGACTTTTTATTTTCAGATTCAGACTGACATCATAGATATCCTGTCCACATTTACACAGTCTGTTCCCGCAGAGTCTGAGTCCAATGAAGGTAAAACATTTCTCTGTCAACACATTAAACAGTCTTTAATAGATAAATTTTTCAGTGACCTTTGGATCTTGAATTCATTTTAGCTTACTTTAAATCCCGGATTGTTGAATCTCTGTCAGCACCTCAAATTTTGTATATTTATTCTGCATAGGCTTTTTATGTACAGACACAGATGTGTCTGTACATATAGCCATCATCTGCGTCTGTCGCCGTCATCGCCGTCGTGCACTNGTCGCCTCTCTGATCCTCTAGTTTACACTATTTTCCCATTGTGATAGTTGAGGTTGATAAATTCTTTTGAAGCAACTATATAAAAGTCACATTGTGCTGAGGTGGATCCTAGGCATTCCCCAAAACAATCATCAGTTTATTTTCAGTTTATACTTGCATATTTGAAATGTCCTCTGAACAAAACCAATGAAAATCTTGTACAAGTTAAGCTTTCAACCATCACAATGGATGGCCTTTCAGAAACTGATGTTTAGGAAATGGACTGCACAATGTTAAATAGCCAGGCAATCACATTAACTAATAAGCTCAGTATAATATCTTATCATTTTGTTGTTCCTCTTGTATGTGATACCCTTTGGGTCATAGGTATTACAAAATGTACCAAAATAAAGTTATTTAATTACATGATAAACATATCAAGTTGATGAACCTCTTCTGGTTAATTTATTTTTAAAAAAATTTGACATTTTTCATCCAGAAGTTACCAGTAAGATCACTCTGCTCCATGATTGGCTAATCCCCACAAAGACGCTGCCTAGTTATACATATGAAGGACTCCCGGAGGTGATCAAGTTACTGAAGCAGTATAATGAAGAGGTGCTGGGGCTACCCAAGGGGCTGGTGACCATCCTAAGGATCCTGAGACACCTTGCTGTGCCCCCTGATGTGGAGAATCAAGGAGGTAAGCACAGACATGGGGTTCATGCCTATAGCCAGCAATTTCAAAGAGGGGGCTCTTTATCTGAAAAGTGGGCCTTTACCCATGAAACCTTCGTGTTACTGGATCAAATTTTATGCTAACCTTTTCTTAGCAAAAAGGCAGTTTGTTTGAACCCCCCCCTAACCCCCCTGGCTATGGTCCTGGAGTTTCTAAATGTTTGTAGTATAGTGGTCCTATTTAGTTACTTGTTTAACTTGAGCACTTACTAGCCACATTATCAAGTTAGTCAGTCATTCATGTGGGTGGTGGGTTGGCTGCTTCCTGAAAGAGAGTGGATGAAAGGGGAGAGAGGGGGCAGCTTAGACCCCCTTTCTTATTTCAGTAATTGCTACTTACATGCTTTATTAATACTTGCACTAAAATAATGCAGAGTTGATATTCAACAGGCATATTTATTTATTTATTTATTTATTTATTTATTTATTTATTTATTTATTTATTTAGAACACACAGAGGAACTGAAGTACAAGTATGTTATAATAGAGCTGTTCAGTGCTGACTGCTTCCCCGTCTTCATCAACATTCTGCAGGTAAGTCAACTGTGTGGCCCAGAAGTTTTAAACTGTTACAGATCAGTGCAGATGATGGTTCAGGATTCCTTTTTAATGTGTAACTGATATTGTCTTAAAAGAATCAATATTTCATCAATATTTTCAGCTTCATCTGTGCTATGCTATGCTGGGTATATAGAAAATGTGACAAAAAACTTTTCATCAGCTTCAGTTAGTATTTTTTTTTAACGTCATGTTTTGTAATCACATTTTTCTACAGTTTGTATGTCAGCATTAAGGTATAGAAATGTACCACCTGCCTTAATGTTTATATGAAGACAGTTTAACTACTTATCTATAAGATATCCCTATAACATGATCTTTCCCTTTCCTTTTTGTTGCCAGAAAATTGGAGAATTGCAACTGTTGCCATGGCAACAGGGTATAGCCAGCAGCTACCAGTATCAAGCTCTAATCATGGCGTTCATAAAGCCCACCCTGGCCATCGTCAAGGCAACACTGTCATATCTGGTCCATGCAAGAGGATCTGCTGTAAGTCATATTTGTTGAGCCTATATTTGTTTTCATGTAAAGTTTGATTCAGTCGCTGCCTGGAAATTATAAGCTGAGATGTATGTTTTTACAATTTTTCCATTTTATCTGTTAGTTTTGAATGTTGAATAGTGTAAAAGAGAGAAAAGATGTTATTGTTATATTCCAGTTCCAGGACCTGACAATTCTGGCAACTCTGTTCAATATTTAATGTCTGCACATACACCAGCCTTGCTGCCTAGTTATTATCTGACATTGTTGTTATATTCCAGTTCCAGGATCTTACCAGTTTGCCAACTCTGTTCCAACTGCACACTGTGATGTGTTCCATCTGCCTCAGTGGAGAACTCAGCGAGGATGCCCAGAAGGTAACAGTCGTTTGCTGCTCTGTCCTGATATAAAACAAAAAAAATTTTAAATCATTTTTCAATGATATTTTCAATGATATGATTGGATTCTTTCAATCTTTTATTTGACTTGTACTCATATGGCTTGTATGCTTGGTATGATTTATGAGAAAGTTCAGATTGTATGTCATCTGAAAAAAATGTCTTCAGATCAAGCAAGAGACTTGCAACTTTGTCTTCTTTTTGTTTTACTATATTTCTGTATATAATTTTATATTTTTCATTGTGGTCTTTCTGGTCTGATTTTTTATGTAGATTGACTAAAGTATTATGACTTATTATTTTCAGATTCAGACTGACATCATAGATATCCTGTCCACGTTTACACAGTCTGTTCCCGCAGAGTCCGAGTCCAATGAAGGTAAAACATATTTCTTTCAACACATTACACAGTCTTTTAAAGATAAACTTTTCTGTGACCCTTGAACCTTGAATTCATTTTAGCTTACTTCAAATCCCAGCTTGTTAAAATTCTGTCAGCACCTCAAATTTTGTAGATTTATTCTGCATCAGCTTTTATTGAATGCTGGTGACACCTGTTGTCCCGCCACCTTAATCACCCAACGGTTTGTGTGTAGCAAAGGAGGCCATACCAGAAATGTATACCTATAGGTATAAAGTTTTTCAAATAGCATTCACTTTACCATGCACCACTCCAAGAAATGTGTATCTAATTTTTCGTATTCCCTTTATCTTTTATATAATTGTATTATTTTATCTTTCCAGATCTTGAGAAAAGTCTGTGGACCCGTATGATGAAGGAGCTGTTTAAGTATGTTCTCACCAGTCCCTACACTTTCCTCAGTGGTCTCCATATGGTATCTGAGCTGTTACCACTACCTCTACCACTACAGAGCAGAGAGGTAAGTTAGACAATTCATCAGTGGTCTCCATATGGTATCTGAGCTGTAACCACTACCTCTACCACTACAGAGCAGAGAGGTGAATTACTAGGCAATCTCTTTCATTGCCCTTCTTGGCCCATATTTTCATGATTGACATGAAATAAAGCCCACCTCACCACACACAATTTACATGCCTTTGTTTGAATTATTTTTCAGAGCGTGACAGACGAGGAGCTGACATTGACAGTGAACACCAGAAGACTGTGGAGTGCCCATCTTCACCCCATAGCACCTGAAATCCTGGAGGTTATCAAGACATTGGCAGGTAGGATAATGGCGTAGTAGAAAATGCTGAATACAAGTAGGTATATCTGAAGTTGGCTAAAATAGTTAACTATTCAACATTTTACTCAACAAGTTTGTAAAATGTTTTGTGTAACTTCACTTTATGCAAGAGTGAGCCCATAAAGAATCATCTGCTGACATTATTTAATTTAGATTGAAACAATTTTTCAGATAAAAACATTATTTTAAATTGTCACATTATTTCAGATGGACACATTATTTCAGATTGAAACATTGTTTCAGATTGTAAAATTATTATTGCAAATTGTAACATTATTTCAACTTGCTATATGCTTTCTCTCTCAGGCTCCAGCTGCCAGGTATTACAGCATGCACTGCGTAGGGTCTGCTGGCAGCTGGCGGACTTGGCATCTCCCAGCTCACTGCTGGTGGGGAGGTATGAACACAATTATAGTATGAAGTCCTATTCATAGATTTTAGTATTAAGCCTGGATGACAAAACATCCTCGTGTTTGGCTTTATTTGAACATTGAAGCAAAATATAACAACATTTTCAGAATGAATCAGAATATAACAAAATTTTCAGAACTACTCTGTTGATGACTTTTGCTTTTTTTGGATTGTCCCGTACAAAGTTGAATGATGACTATGAACTTCTTATATCACACTATATTAGTAAAAATTATGGTATAAAAAATAGCACACAAATACATTTGTTATTCACATTTGATCAACTTATGTGGTATATTGAACAGGTGTATATTGGATGCACTCTTGGAAAGCATGGACAATTCTATTGAGAAGAGCACACAGCCTGCAAAGGAAGGAGAAAAGAAAGAGGAAGAAAAAGAAGAAAAAGCAAATACTGAACAGAGGAGTTCCGGAGAAACCGCCAGGATATTGAACTTAACCGCATACCTCGTGGCACACCCACCAATCAAATCCCCTGTACTACAGCTGATGAGGGGAGAAACCAAGGCGGAGGAGAAATACAAGGACTTATTTCCTAGATTGCTGAACTTGCTGAATGTGGTGTCAGAGAAACAGTCCCATATCAATGCACAGGAGTGTATTGTGGTGAGTGTGTGACCTGTACACATTGTAATACCTTATGTCCTTTGTCCCTAGAACCTGACAAAGAACGTGTTTAAAGTGGAAAACATGTCTTAGCTAAGCCAACCATGACTCTAAGCCAGCTGTATTTCTTTTCACGAGGAAATTTTTGAACCATTTACCTTTTTTCCCATTCAGAAATTTGTGGGCGCTTAGACCAAGTATAATTATTTTTGCCAGCAGTCTTAATTAGACCTCATCTAAACTTGTTGTAGGCTAGTTGACAGTGTAATGTTTCAGTCTTATATTGCAAAGTTAAAATAATATTCTTAGTCACCTAATAGTATATGAGTTCAGCAATCTAAACAAAGCCCAAAAACTTTAAATTGGTAACCTTGTGTATTGGAAACCTATGAATCTCAAACCATTTTTGGGAGGAATGAAGCAGTTATGCAACATTTTATCTCAGATAACAGTTTCACATGAAAGAAGGTTCAAATTTTACACATTTCCTTCATGAATTGGGGAGTATTTATGTGTTGAGAAGCCAGCAATATCAAACATTATTTGATGTAGGAGATTAAGCACCAGACTGTGTTATTACCCATTATGCCACAATTTATCTCAGTTAAGCATATCTTAAATCGGGCGAATTCAGAGATATTTTCTGACAGTCTTCCAAATGATCTTTGTTGATCCGTTCTTCATTTTTGACCGTCTCCCGACAGAAAAAATTAGATACCCGTCAATGTAAACTTGAAAATCTGACCATCTTCTTGAAGTCCCAGAATACGCCTTTAAACTGCCCCTGTAAATGTTCAATCCTTTCCTGTTCTGTCTGTCAGTCTGTGCTGCAGTCCCTGTGTGATCCGGCCGTCACCATGATCACTGCAGAGAGCAGTCTTACCCTGCAGGAGCAGATCGCCAGCAGTCTGCCTATCAAAGAGCAGCTGATGCAGCAATGCACCGCCATCTTAGAGCACATAGGAAACCAAGATCACAGCTACGCCTCCATCCTGCCGTCGCTGAGAACTCTGGTCATGCTAACGGAACATGATTATGGATTTTATCATGTGAAAAGGTGATTATTTGAGACAGACTAGTTTTGCTTCTTGGTTCATTGTGATTTTTTGTATTCATTGTCACTAAACATTGCAAATCGTAAGGACTTTTAAGTCATTTGTATCACAAAAATGTGGAAAGAAATAAAATATTTCTCTGAATTATCCTTTTAAGAATTAAAATTGAAATTGTTAGATATTTTAGCTCCAACTCTAAGAAATCTCTCTCTCTCTCTCTCTCTCTCTCTCTCTCTCTCTCTCTCTCTCTCTCTCTCTCTCAAAAAAAAAAATAATAATAATGTCTTAACCTCTGTCATCTATTTTTCCAGTGCAATGGACGGCAACAGCATGGCCCTATTCAGTCTCTTCCTACGTATTAACAACACCTTCAGCAAGGACAGCTCAGACTGTATGTCCACCCTGTCCACTGCTGTAGAACTCCTCCAGCTCCTGTTGGCCTCTGACCAGCCACCCCCTGGGGACGAGGGCCTGGGGGAGGCAGAGGAACCCCCAGGGGAGTACAGGAAGATGTCCATAAGTATTGGAGAGCTGAAGAAATATCTGAACTGGACGCCGGAGGTCCAGCCACACCCTCTGGATGACCTGGAAAAACTCCTAGCTGTAAGACTGAAAGATGAATACTTATTTTTATGAATCATTTCTTTATAGGAAAGTTAATCTGTTTTAACTGTTGCTTTACTCTAATTTTACTTCAATAGAAAATAATTTGATAAACAACATCTCAGAGCATTCATCATCTTGTTAAAACAACAGTGGTTTGGGCATTTTTCTGACATCAGAAAAATGGAGGTATTTTGACAACTGTCACAGAGCAATTGTAATCCAAGGTGAAAAAAATTGCCTACAGAATTCAGCTTGCACTCTGTGATAAGAGAAATCCATGCAGTAATAGAAAAAAGTCTGATTAAATTGTTTGGTAGATCGAAAAAATGTGTCTTAAACCAACCTCTATCTTTCTTTTCATTCCAGGAGTATGTGAAGGAAGAAGAAAGTTTAGATGGTCTCTTGGATGGCATATCTGGTCTTGTGCTGACTCTGAAGACTGAAGAAGGTGGACAACCACAGGGTAAACAATGGCAACAGTTGTCTCCTTCTTGCAGTTGTTGGCATGCAGCAATCAAAGTTTATCTAGACATTGTTCATTTTATTCATGAGTAAAAAAAAAGCAAAAAAAAAAAAAAAAAACATAATACATGATTGAGTAGTGAAAACATCAAGACCCAGAAAAAAGGAAACCAGCTTGATAAACATGTATGATGATCATATTAATATGTTATCATGTAGTCTTTCCTTCTGTTCCAGATTTTGCAGAACCAGTATTACCTGCTCCTAAAACATTGAAAGAACAGTTTGACCTGCGGTTGACCTGTCAACTAGGAGACGTGGATGAAGACAAACTGACCTTGATCTACTGGCTGTCCAACCTGGCAGTGGACGACTCGGACCAAGAACTGGACATGGTGGGTCAAAATGACCAGGACACTTTGATATACGTATAAGATGGTTTGGTCCAAAAACTGGGGTGTGCAATTTTTGGTGATGGGGGAAATGATATTACCTGATATACATCTGAAGCAGAGAGAAGGAAAATGATCTTGATTAGATAGATTTTTTTAGTTAATTGTTACCATGTGGTTTAAACTTCCACTTTCATTAAAATCAGCACAAAATTAAATCAAGTTGGCAATAATTCTGCTTTAGTGGTAAGCAGCAGTATGGGTCAAAAGTGATTTTTCATTTTCTGTAGGTTGAAGAAGATCTTGAAGAGATATCCCAGAAGTATTGTCCAGATTTTGATGTTAAAAATGAGCTGCGGAAAGGCAAACTGCCATCTGAAATGGACAAAACAAAGTTGAAAAGGAGACCTAAGTATGATATGTTATAACAATATACCGATAATATGAATATACATATATCAAATGTTGAAATGAGAAACAAGTCCATGAGCTTGTAAAATGAAATTTTTAATGATTTTCTCCACTTTCTCACCTTTTGGGAAGGGACCATGCCTGAATCCTCCATTATGTTAAAAGATAGGAAGGGAAATGGGGAGGGTCAAGATCTCCATGTTAAATTGCTACATACTGATACTTTATACTTAATGTTTTCAGTAAAAGAAGAGGCATAGATACTATTAACACCAGCAGCCTGAGAGGAAGACAGTTTGGTAATTATGTTTGAACTCTGCATTACACGTTTTAAATGCTAAAGAGTGTTGATTGTTATTTTAGATTTAATCGGCCTTTAGCAGTTCTTGGCTCATGTTAAGATGTAGTTATTTAGCCTAAAAGCTGTAAGATTGTACACAAATCAGTATAAAACAGAATAGGGAGAAATTTGATGGAATGGGCAGGTTTTATGAAGAATATCTTGCCAGGATTTAATTATGGGGAAAGGTTAACTCTTTCCAACATCTTTCTGCCTGATGAGATGAAGCTATGTGCATAATTCTATTTTCATTGTCAATTATCACAGTGGCCCCCATGAGAGGGAGAGGGTTTGGACGAGGAATGATGTCCAACAGGCACGACCCCTTCAGGTCAAGGCCACCCAATACGAGCCGACCTCCTTCCATGCATGTAGATGACTTCGTAAAGCTTTCCAGCCATGGGCAAGGCAACATGGATACCAAACGCCAGGACAAGGTAGAGTGACGCTGTTGTTCATGTTTATGTACACTGGAAAGCTGAGCTCACACAAGCTTGCAGAATTTTTATCAATGGTTAGAAATATATTTATATAGATTTTGGCAGAAAGAAAAGAAACTGCTTTCTGTCAAATATGCCATAGATTCAGAAAGGAATCATTTATCCTACAAATTTAATTAAAAACCTGAAACAAAAAGTTCTTCAAGTGAGCTTAGCAAAGTATTTTCTTGTGTTTTTTGGACACAACTTTTCAATATAAAAAAAAAAGTGATAAATGTCAGTCAAAAGGCTGGCTATTGAAAGTTGAGTCATATGTTTGACTTGTCCCATTTCATTGTTGTAGAGTATCCACAACATTCCCAGTATCTCCAGTAGACCTAACTACAATGTGAGTACACTCTTCCATCTCATGACACTGTGCAGTGTGACACTGGGATGACACTCGGGGACTCTGCACTGATATTTCAATGACACTGACATAAAAGCGACACTTTTGACTCCTGAGCAACACTGTTTTGATTTTTTACTTACTTTATGAACAATTTCAATATTATCTGTTGATTGAGGAAAAAAAAATACTACTTTATTTTTATAACATAACACAGCTGATGAAATTCTTCTTTGATTTACTCTTTGCTTTAATATTATAGCGACATGTTTAGTAGCGTAACACTGGGATAAAACAAGTCACTTAGCTGTGATACCAATTGGACCCTTGAGGGACAGCTTTCACACTAAACTTAACACAGCTCTTAAACTTGAGTGACAATATTTTCAATCATGAATGCATTATGTTTGACTTGGGTACGGACTGTTGAGTGATATTGTGTGTCAACTCTAAAGCAACACTGATTGATTTCTGATTCGCTTTTTGCTTTGACATTATAGCGATACTTTTTAGTGTTTTGGCAATTGGAGTGGCACTGGAATGTTCTTTGGGGTCATTAAGAATAGACGATCCAAGTATCAACTGGTCCAAGGCTCAAATATGGCGGACCCTACTTGAAAGGAAGACCGCTTAATCTTGTAATGGTCTCTCTGCCTCTCACACGCCTCCCCATGCGTTGTCCCTGCTGGAGCACAGTAATTAAATCTCGGCTCCATTCCACCAGACACGAGGGGAGGCATGTGAAAAGCAGAGAGGATTAAGCAGTATACCTTTCATGTAGAGTCTGCCATATTTGAGCCTTGGACCAGTTGATACTCAGATCTTCTATTCTGAATGGCCCCTTTGACACTTAGAATATCTCTGGCATTGTAATAAATAGGTTGAGTTTGGTTATGTGTTGGTTAAGTCATGGGAAATTGGTTGCTATTGTGTCTTCTGATAGACATGACATCAGACATGTACCTTTTTTTTTTTTTTTTTTTTTCGATTTAAAGTGGAATTGTTTTTTTTTTTTTTTTTTTTTTTTTTTTTTTTTTTTTTTTTTTTTTTTTTTATTTTTTTTTTTTTTTTTTTTTTTTTTTTTTTTTTTTTTTTTTTTTTTTTTT